AAAGAAGTACAATGTTAAAATATAGCACAGCCATATTAAAACTTATTTAACCTACATGACTCAGATGATAACAGATTTTAGATGGATTGAATAAAAATATATATATTTTTAAATTAAATTTTATTATGGTAATATAATAAATTCCTTTTATCATATTAAAATACATGTATACATGAACTAATCACATTTATCGTAAAGATTAATTTATACATAACTATATAAATATATGTACAAGTTAAAAATGGCTAGTAATATTATGAGCACAAATCAACATTATAAAAGAATATAATTGATTATATCAATAACACATTATATAAAAGGGGAAGGAATAGATAAAAATAAATACTTAATTAAAAGGGAAACATATTTACAATACAAATTAAAAAATACTTTAACAAGACTTGTGATGTAAATAATCACTTTAAGTACAAATAACTAATTAAGAAAATAAAATCACAATATGAGCAGTTTTTTGGAAGAAGTGTACAATTCATACTTATTATACTAAGTGTATGTGTTTTAACTAGTTTCTTTGAGGTACATAGGGGCTAGAAAATATAGTTTATTACTGACGTACTACAGTTAAGTATTGACTTTATTACATAAATATATCACACAATGAGACATACAGTTTTTCAACCTACCAATTTTCGAGTTTTAAAGATTGATAATATTTGGTTGTATCACATGAAATGTCATTAGTGAAATATGAGGGAATAAATTTACCATTGTATGGTTAAAAAATTAGTGTTGAAATTAATATCAGAACTAACTATAATTTCTAAGCTTATCTCCTACACAATTAATGAACACCCTTTTGAAGGCTGAACATAAAAGAAGACTGACAAAATTATAAGAAATGCATTCCAAGAATTTGTTTCCTTTCAGATTCAGATCTTTTACAAAGAGGAATTAATTAAACATTTTCAATGAACTAAAAAACTATTGTTTTGTAAGAATTTTATAAATGTAGTCACAAAGCATAATTTGATAAATAAATAAAACTAACAATATCATGTTTTATAAAAAAGTAACCCACTTTAACATTCCATATGATAGAACCAAGAAACATCTGTATTAATTAATAGAATTTTCCTAAACAAAACAATTACAAATCTTATAAAATATGTATGTGTAATATTTATTATTGACAAAATAAAATACATTGCAACACACAATTTTGTTAAATATAAATAATTGTAATATAATTTGTCTCATTCTAGATATGTCATTTTACCGTTTGGTAAACTAAGGCACTTCAGATAAATTCTTAACACACAAAACATGTAAAATACTTTAAAAATATAAATAATATGTATATATATTTTTTTTAAATCGAAAAGAAATTGAAAACAAGACCAGCTTAGTTCAAAACTGGTATTTTTCATGGTTAATGGAATTCCAGATTAAGTATTGATAACTTTGGAATGCATAATTACTGTATTTTTAGAGAAATCATGGAATCTCTTATGAAATAATCGATAATATATATAATACTGTCAAGTAGAAAAAAAAATACTTGCATTATACAATTCTTAAAATGTTTTTGTTAGTAATTACAGTTTTTAATAAGATAATCTTTATTCATAATGCTAACCTGTTTATAGCAAAAATATCAATAAATACCATTTGATTTTTAGATGAACAAATTAAATACAGTTGATGCATGAAGTAACAATATTAAAATTAATAATAAACATTAAAACTGTTGAATTGGTTGGGAACATAATAAATGACAATGGAATTATACCGATTATCTTCAATGAAAATCCTTTCAAAGAACTACGAAGGACCATCAATCATACAAATTATCAATGAAAACAAATAAAATTAAACTTGCTAAAAAATGAAGAAAATATTAAAAATTTTAAAAGAGCCAAAAATACTGTAAATAATAAAGTTTGGAGGGATTACAGTAAATACCAAAATAGTATTAATTTTTACTTCCTTTATCAATCCATGAATAACTAAATCATGAATTTACCGGGTCATAATTAAGTATAAACCAACACTAAAAGGCACAAACAGGCATAGGCGCAGACTTCCCATTTTGATTGAGGAGGCTATGGACAAAAAAATATAAGTAAAAAAAAATTTAACTTTGAACTTATTCAGCTAAAAATGAATAATATTAAAAAGTGACGAATACTTTTGATTTCTTATTTTTTACAACCTCCAAATAAAAATAAAGTGTTTTCAGAGTCTGACTAGTTATGTAAAAATGTCTATAAAAAATTCTCTAGAAAATATATTTATACTTCTATATATGTTCCAACCTTATCGCAGAAATTTTTTAAGAAAATCAAATGAAAATGGAGGTGTCCACATGAGAAGTGAAATATTACCACTAAATATTAAAAACAAGAGTTTTTCGGCCATCATAAAGTAGTTATGTACCTACTTATAGGTCGTAACCTAGGCATCTAGTTGTCTTTTCTAAATCGATTTAAGTGTACATATTTTATTCATTCCTGGAGCTTATTTCTTTGATTTTTTATTTTATTTTATTCAAACTATTGAGAGTGGGGAGCAATCACACACCTCTTCTGCCGAAGTCTGCGCCTATGCAATCAGGTATAGAGACTAATTTAAATTACAAAAATAATCTAGTAATTAATAAATAGTATATAATTTTAATAAGCAGCACTACAATATAGCATTTTTAGGATACATCTTGTTAGTTAACTATTCTTTCTTGTTAAAAAATAAATAATTAAGTATAGAATTAATGTTTAAAGATAAAATTTAGTTTTCTTCAAAATTTTACATTCATTTCATTATTGGACATAGTAGGTACTTTCATAAATTTATGAAATGCAGTCTTATCTGTTGAGATTTAAAATGATAAATATTTATTTTCTCAATAACATTTCTAAAATATACATCATTCCAACAGATCAAACTCAATACTCAACCAAATTTGTGAGTATTCAATATAAACATTAATATTACGACTAAAAAAATAAAATTAATTTAAATAACAACATATGTTATAAAACTTAAAATGCTGAGTGCTGATGTCGAACATGCTTGGATATTTGGTTCTCTTTCCTTAAAGCAAAAGGTTTATGATATGCTATATACATATTTAGGCAGCACATTGAAAATTCTTGTCTCAATATACACACTTGTTTGGCACAAGTCTTAGTTTAGTGGGATGTTGTAGAGTTGTAATCAAAACCAGGGCTTAAAACTTTTAAAGAACTTTTTTAAGAAGTTCCATTTCACCAGTTTCTGTGAAACTTTAAGCAAAAAAGTTCTTAAAATAAAAGTTCTAAGAAATTTGTTAAAAATAAATTTTAATTTTAAGTTCTAGGTTTATGGTGAAAGTATATCTTTTATTTATTTATCTTCTTTAAAAAGTCACATTAAATGTGAAATAAACAATAAGTGGACTTATTAGAGTTATAATTTTTCTTAAATGAACTACTTGACTCTAATTCGTTTGTTTGAGTAGCTATGAATAAAAGTCATTTTTTGGTTTGATATTTTAGCGAAGAACTTTTAAATAAAAATTTTGTAAAACCTTTACTTGAAATTTATAAAAGTTCTAGCTTCGAAATAAGATAAAATAATTGAAAATATAAGGTTCTGGTCGTACCAAAATTGATTAAAAATGTGTATAATTTTGTTAAATTTGATTCAACTTAATCATTCATAATTATTTCACTTTAGACAATGGTATTTAAAAAAAAAAATTGTATTAAAAACTTATTCCTAATTATAATAATGAAAATCTATTCATTGCTACTATATTTTATACATAACTCACTTTGTAATAAATATATGATAATTTCTTTGTTCTTGTAAATTTAGTCAACTCCACAGAGTAATTACTAGTTTAGCTAAAATTCTAAACAGGAATAGCACAATATAACAAAGAACAATGCAGCTAAAAAGTGAGTGTGTTGCAAGTTAGTATAATAAAAAAATTTCAGCCTTGGAAAGAGAGGTTTAATGCATGGCGGCTATGCAGTCGACATGTGAAGGTGAGAGTAACTAATATTGATATTTAATATTAATATTATAACACAATAAAAATTAAATATACGAAGGAATGTTTTAGGAAATGAAAGATCGGTATTATCACTTATTTAATCCTGGAGATGGCCTTTGATATTTCAGAAAAAAATGTATAAACAATTGTTATACAGTAAGAGGATAACTGTTTTTAGGTCGAGTAATATCTACAACTATTGTTATAAAGTAGGAGAATAACTGCTATTATCTATAACTATTTCATGGCCGAATAAATTTCATTTACCAGGCACTAATCAAAATTTTTTAAATTAAGTTTTTGCATCAAATGCACTAGTCTACCATAGTCGTCATATATAAATAAAATAAATTTATAGTACAATAAAAACCTTGTTACACACTGAAAACAGCTAAGTAATAGAATACTTCAAAATTGTTAAAATATAAGAAACACAATAAATGAAAAATGGTTATAAATATTATCCCTACACTTTTATAAACTATGTACTACTTGATGATTTCATTTACACTATACATAAGGATTTCACAGAAGTTGGAATGCATAAATTCTGCCGAAGTGTTTAAAAGTAAGCTCGTGGTATTTTTGACTTATTTCAAATATTAATGACTTAAAAATAAAATTACCTCTTTAATTAGGTATTTAAATATATATTTATATATATATATGTATATATATATATATATATATATATATATATATATATATATATATATATATATATATATATATATGATGGCTACATTATAACAACGTATTAATAAATAATTAAGAATGAAATAAACGTCCGACGTCCGACTATCAACTAGATAGTTATAAGTAAAATAAAATTAAATTACCTTGGCCTGACTGTTTTGACAATCCCAAGGGATCCTTCATTAGACTCGTGTACCCAGAACAATAAATCTCATGTATCAACAATATATCTTATACCATTAATCTTATCCGATAGAACTAACAGTTCAAAATATAACAGCTAACCTAAGACAGTACATGGGTATCGCTAGCAATTGGTATGAGATGAGGCTCTCATCAAAGGCACGAGGAGGCTTGGAGGCCCAGCCTGGCGTAAGAAAGGATGCTGTAACAGCTCAGCGGCTGTCGCTCTCTGAGCGGGGTCTCTCACCAACAAACGCTCTAAAAATCCCTGCAATCGCCCAGAAACCTGAAATAACAATTTTTTCATTACACATATAAGAAGAAAACAACAAAGTAAACGGTTTGATACGAGGAGAGATAAAAATGTCTCAAGAGAATGTTAAAACTTGCTCATGAGAAATGTCCATTAAATATCTGTTTAAGAGAAGTTCCACAATATCTACATAAAGTAGCCCTGATCATGGCCAAAATTATTTGATCAAACATTGGTTAATTTAATAAAAACAATTTAATATTATAGTATGGTTTCTTTGTTACCTTGGTGATCAGTGATTAAATAATGATAAGGATTTTCCTAACAGTTAATGAAATAAAATATTTGAAATCATGTTGTTTATATATAGGTAGATAGATAGATAGAAAAATAACTTTATTCTGGGATGCAGTCCCTTGAGAAAAACAAAATAGAACATAATTAAAAGATTACATCTGGCCAAAATAAAATCAATCGAAAAAAATAAATAATGTGAAAAAAATATAAGGTAAACATTCTATATACAAAACAAATGAAACTATATACAAAACAATTGATACTATGACAAGACACTTAAAGCTATTTGCACTGATAGACCAGTATACACTTTTAAGAAAATAATAAAGAATTAAAAAATAAAAATGTATCAAATTCTCTATTAAAATCAGCTCGAATGGTTAGCAACTATCTGACTGTTTTTGGGATAGGAATTGGAATAGGAGGGTTTGGAATGTCTATATGGATGGGGAATGTCGAATTTTGATAGGGAGGGAATTTCAGAAATTGACAGAGCAAACAATAAAGGAATTTTGGAATGAGGCACATCTGTGAGAAGGCATGTAAAGGTTAGAAAGTCGAGATCTTGTGGACAGGGAATCGATTAAGAATTTGAACTGGAGAAGGTTGTAGGCGTAAGAAGGACGATGGTTGTTGATGTTTGGTAGAGGAACGTACCTAGGAAATATTGTCTTCGGAAGGAGGGGAAAAACCACTTTAACTCAGCGTAGTGGTGAGAAACATGGGAGTATCTTGGGGCCCCGATCACAAATCTTTGATTTATATGTATGATAGGTAAAATTATATTCAATAAAAGTTTTATTATGATGAAAGTTTTTATTCAATCATAAAAATAAATTTTTTTGGAATAATCTAATATTTCATGTTATTAATCAATAATAATAAGAAAAAAGAATCTGCAAGGTTCCTCTTCTATAGATAAAGATCGAAATGATTCACCAACGAAGCAAAGACAACAATCGAAGGCTCTCAAATACCACCAATGGGATAGTCAACAGGTGAAGGCAAATCGAAAATCGGTCATAAACATAATTTTAGAGGCCCCACAAGGAACATGCGGAATAATCAAGATCGGCAATAGAACCAAAAGGACAGCCTGATGGACTGAAGAGGTAAAAGAAGGGATCAAAACGAGAAAACTAAAATGGAAACAGTATCTCAATACCAACATAAATGTTACATGTTAAGGATGTTAAATGTGAAGCAAATTAATTATTATGATCTCTTACAGTTATTTTTATAATTTTCAGTTATTTTGCTTTTCAGAAATAAGCAAATAAGCAAGAAAGCAAAGTGTTGCGGGATTGCCGCTCTCATTTTGTATTGTCATATGTGGCCGGGAAGGCATATATCCTGATTTTTTTTTTAAAGTTGAATAAAAACATTAAAATGCATTTTTGAAAGCTAAGATCTTGTAGCGTGACTCAAAATAGCATTTTAAACAAATTTATGGGGAAAAAATCTGCTTTTTTACGTCTTGGTGGATTTCAGGGTGTAACGTATGGTATAAACTCGCATATGAGCTACCGCAGTCAAAGGGTTAACAAAACCACATTCTCACCGGTTCTAATCTTCTCAAGTGAACCTTGGACTATCACTAAAAAGCAAAAGAGCCTTGAAAAGAATGGAGAGAAAGACAAGAAGAGACCGAGTCCGAAATAAGACAATGAGTTCAAACCTAGAACTTAAGCCAGCTAAAGAGATTATCAAGGAACACCAGCTAGAGATGGTTTGACCATGTTGCTAGAATGGCAGAGGACAGATTGGCAAAAGTCGTATCCAGAGCAAAAGTGGAATGGCAGAGACCAAGGGAAAGACATGGGAAACCGCAATCCGGGAGGCCTTTGACAGAAGATGGGCTGGAATGGGGAAGAACATCTCTTCGATCCAAAAAATTATATTTACAGCTGGTTTTCAAAACTATTGAACTACTTTAAATGAAATAAAGAAACAATTTGTCTTGATTTTTTTTTTTTTTTAATTACTGATCATATACAAAGGTATCTAATGTCCAAAAATAGCTTCAGTTATTTCTGAATAAGATATTTTCAACAAAATGCACTTTTAAACTTCTTGTTAGCGTGAACCATAACTATTTCTCTTTACCAATTAACTTGAACCTTTTAATTGTAAAGTCTATAAAAACTGGAGTAACCTTTATGTATATGGAAATTACATAATACAGACAATGTATTTTTTTAAGTAATATTTCCTCGTAAAACGTCATGTAAAAACAAACGTAAAGCAATCAACAAACAAATAATTTTAATAATTAATCAATCATAAGGTAAATCAGTTAATGGGATTACTTAGTAAAACAACTCTAGCATCTTTCATCCTAATAGAATGTTCTAAACTTAAATTAAATTTAACATATTAAATAAAATAACCTGTTCAGTATTAATGATGCACAGAATGCAATTTTAACCTAGCTATAAATATCGATGCCATGTGAAATAAATTAAAATACCTTATGAGTGTTCTTCAGTTTGGGTGGAGCCATGTCCCTGATTTTTCTCATCGCCTGCAGTGGAGGCTCATTGAAGAAAGGTGGTTCACCATCTACCATTTCAATTACCATTATACCTAAACAAAAAGAATGTAGTTAGTTATATTTATTAAGATATACTAAAATTATAATTAAGAAATAAATAAATATACAATAATTACTGAATTTTGAATTAAAAATTTACAAATATTGTCTAAAAGATAATCAGGTAGCAAAGAATCTTATGGTCAAATGATACACACAGGCACTCACAAATTTGTTCGCAACAAGGAAATATCTTTAAATTTTAAATCTGAATGGAAATATTAAGAGTGTACAATGCAGCATTGGTTTTCGGCAGAGGCTTGGAATTAGAAGACCATGGCCACGGTATAGATGTCTACCACTGAGGTAGTGATGGCTAGGTATCACCTCAACAAGCTCGAGTTTATTGGTGCTGGTTCAAATCTGGCCAGGGCGAGTTGACATTTTATTTTGTGGCAGAATGAATTACAACCTTCTTACTCTGGTTAGAATAAGTTGGTTAACTGTATGATAACTCCCTCTCTACATAAAATAATAAATAGATGGATCAGGGAAAAAAAATACGATCATTGCTCACAAAAAGAGTCAACAAATAGATGATTCGCATCAGAAGCAGTAACATCTTTGCCCGGTATTGATTTTAATCAGAACGTACCAATCCCTATCCAAAGTAATATTCTGCCAAGAGTTGGACAAACAAGATCCTGTAACAACCACAATATTCATTAAGTTTTTCTTTACTGTCTTCTACTTTTTTCATCACTTGGACAACCTTATATGAGCAAAAAACTTATAAATGATGATAATGAAGATTGTGTTTATAGTTTGGTGGTTTACTGTTGAAGACTTTATGGCCAAAAGAGTTCAGGGAAAAAATGGCTTGAATGTAATGCAGGACTTTCCTGTAGAAATCAAAAGAAACAAGCAAAATGTTTTCAATTTTTTTAATTTCTTACAAGTTACAACTGTATCATAGTTTATAACCTAATCCTTCCTCCCCCATCCCTCTCTACCTGTATCAATAAGGATTATATAGATTGGCTCTAAATTCAAATTCAACATTTTGCTCCTTCTTTTTAAATTAAATGTAAATAGGATATAAAAACTTTATATAAATAGATGAAACTTCCAATTGAAATATTATGATCGCATATATTATAATGATGAAATTATTGTTGACCATAGAGCACATTGTAGAAGTTGGTTGAAAGGGAAAAGGAGCGTTCCTTGATGAAATAATACACACATAAGAAATTTTATGTTATTAAATACGATTTATGAAGAAAAGAATAGTTGGGGTGATCTGTCAAATAAGAAGGCAAAAATAAATGATGATATTTATTTTGACATTTGCCGACGATTCGACCTGAAGTTCAGGCCTTCATCAGGGCTGTCTCCAAAAAGTGTTAACGGAGAAAAAAAAAAATTAACTTCAGATGAGCCTTAACTTCAGGTCGAAACGTCGGCAAATGTCAAAATAAATATTATCATTTATTTTTGCCTTCTTATTTGACTGAACATCCCAACTATTCTTCTCTTCATTAAATAAGATTTAACTCATTAATCATTTTATTATAACGAAATTTCATATATGGGTGTTATTTCATCAATTACTACAGCCACCTACCGACTTCTCCTACAATAGATACATTACATTGGCATTAATCACAGGAAATTTCCTCCTAGGCCCAGCTACACCAACAGTCGTGATTAAAGTTAACATTCTCTCCTAACTAACTCATGTTCAAAATTAACCAAAGTTAAAATTTGGGTCCACTTGCTCCAAATAATTTTTAAACCGAGTTAGTCAACAAGGTGTTAATATGAGACATCATCTTATGACATATTATTCAAGTAGTAAGAAAATGGGTATTCATGTGGGTATTCAAATGGGTATTCATGAGTTTTTAGCACCTAATTAAATCTCCAGTTTAAAAACTCCTCAATTCTGAGAATTATCATAAACAAAATATCTGTAGGTTACAATGAGATGTATTTGGTATGTAGTTATTTAAAGTTTCTAGCGGGTGTTAACAATTTGATAAAAAGGGATTTGTGCCACAGACTATTGAGTTATATTATGAAACCATCCATTGACTTGCATGTAAAGTTTGATATTTACAATCAACGAGGTATAAGGTTATTTGATTGATTATCGCAATCAACGAGGTATAAGGTTATTTGATTGATTATCACTTGTTAATTATTGTAAAGACAATGTTAAAAAGAGAAAGAGGGAGCTAATTTTTTTGGAAAGATTTAATAAGGGTTCATCTGATAATAAACTTTCTTCAGAAGAATTTTCTACAGATGAAATTATACTTGTAGTCATCTTGAAAAAAGTGCAAACCAAAAACAGTAAACTAGTATTCTCAGAAGAAGGAAATATTTGTTTGTTGTTAGAAGTAACTGTACGTAAGGTTACACTTTATAAAGATCTGAACTTTATAAAGATCTGATCGTGGTCTAACATTGGATTAGTTAGTTGTATTAACTTAAGGTAGTGTTAAAGCTAATGTACATTAGTACAACAAAAATTCTGTTAAACACTATTGAACTAACCAAAATAAGTAAAATTAAAGTTAACAACAGTCAGTGCAACCGACCCTAAGAATTTCAAAATTAATATATTAGAAACAGCAAACCTAAAGACCAAATGTCCACTTCTGGTCCATATAAAAGACGAGAGATAACCTCAGGAGACATCCAATACGGTGTACCAACAAGAGATTTTCTCTTTGGAAGTTCCTCTGACACTTGAGCACAGAATCCGAAATCAGATAGCTTCACCTAAAAGAATCCAATTAACACCATTAATACAGTTTAAAAAGTATAATGAATTATTTTGTTAGACACATTAGAGAGGATTATGGAATAGATAAAAGTATATTTACTTTTTAATCCAATAAATATTAAGTAAATAAATAAATGTGTATTATATGATAACAATATAAAATATTGGAGCTCGCCAATAGTACAACATACCCTGCCATCTGCTGCAAGAAGGATGGAGTCACTCTTGATGTCTCTATGGATAACACCCTGGGAGTGAAGATATGATAATGCCTTTAAGCACTGCTTGCAGACTGTGGCAATTTGTTCCTCATCCATCCTGGCATGAGTCACAATATCCGTTAAAGCTCCACCCTCCAAGTATTCCATTACTACCCACAGCTCATCGCCGACCAAGTATGACTCATACATCTCTACAATATTGGGGTGGTGGTAATCCCTCATGATGACAACCTATAGGAAATATTTAAAATATTGATTAAACATAATATAATAAAAAAAAATGTTAAAAATACCTTTATCATTTAACATACAAGAACAGAACTTTTGTTAATAACAATAAATAAACCAGACATGCTTTAAAATATATTTTACAAATAAAATCGACCTGATCACTTAATCTTAAAAGAAAATCAACAAACACCCAGATCAGTATTAATAAGAACTCACTTCATTGAACAGAAGTTCTCTCCTCTGCTGTTTCCTGAGATCCATCTTCTTGACGGCGACCCTGCGGCCTGTAGCTCTATCGAGGGCAGTACACACAGTTCCGGTTGACCCTTCACCAATCTTTTGAAACTGTTCCAATCGGTCTCGGGGGTCTCCTGGATTCACTACCAGCTCAAGTGTTGCTCTGAACTGTTTCAAAACATTCGTGACAGAAGTCATCATTGAGCAATATTTAAAATTTTAACCATAAAGCAATTGATTAAGTTAATATAAATTATTTATGAATACACTCCAACTTTATGAAAATGTGAGAAAGTTTAAAAAAAATATTAATATACATTCAACTTATAAACCTTCTTCACATAATAATAAATTTTTTTTTTAATTTTTTGTTTTTTTATTTTTTACAATTAAATTATTGCATTAATATTTGTTCGTTAATAAAACCAACATAATGTACCAAAAATGTTATTATATCACTATAACTAAGCCATTTATGTGTACTAAATGGTGTGGTGGAGGCCTGTAGGCAGCCACGCCAGTACCGCTTTTCTGCCGCATAAGTGCATTTTCTACGGAACTGCTTAAAATTTTTTAAAAAATAATCAGCGTTTTAGAAAGACAAATATATTCTCCAGATGTTTTATTTCAAAACGTTTTGCGTTATTGTAGGCCGTTTAATTACAAACGACTCTTGATTTGTAACTTGAAAATTTTTTTGTTTAAAAAATTGACTTTACTGGTGTTTTTCATAGCCTAAACCAATTATTTTTTAATATTTCTTCATGTTTTATTATTCTATGACTATTCATCTTTAATAAAAGACCAACTATGAGGCAATTAAGCCAAATGCTGATTCTCAGTGACCAAAAAACTAACTAAAGTCAAAGTCGTCAATCCGCCATCTTTGGACGCCATTTTGGGGCAGTGCGTTCACTTTTTTTTGTGGGAACATTGGCTTTTTTTTAATAAATAGCTATAAGGAACACAACGATATGCAATTTATAGGGATGTGGGGGGGTGCACGGTAAGGGGGTCTGGCCCACAGACTATATCATGGACCATTAGCGTGCATGAACACATGAACATGAACTTTTAATTGGTAGAACACCATTTCTTAACCCCAAGGCAAATTGAGCAAAATTTTTATTTTCTATTCATAATTATTTCTTCTGAAATTTGATCGTTATTTTTTTATTGCCAACAAAAACTATATTCATACAAAACAACAAGTAAATGTTTAGTCAGGATATAAAACATGATATTAAGTTGTGAAGGAACTACCAATTGGCAGCACTTCAATTGAAAGCAATATAATAATATAATTTATAACTTCCAATGCATCTCCTGAAAAGTATTGAATTCTGAGTTATGAAGTTCCAGTGAATGAGTGAAATATTTTTTAATTTATCTATTATACACTTACTGTTGTTTACGCCTGGTTAGAAAAAAAAATTAATTATTCTTTTAAATTATAATTGTAATTGTAACCTGTACCACTACAATCCATGAACGGTCTTGAGTTCAGTACTATTTAGGGATCTATTTTTATATCTAATAATCAATTCTTTTAAATTTATTACTTATTAATTAAAAAGAAAATAATACCTGTTCATGAGAAATCCTTTGCTGGTCTTGGTGTTGCTGTTTAGACAACAGCTGCTGCTGTTGGTGCTGTTGAGGAGTTTGGGGTGTACCATTTTTGTTCAAGTTTTGGTTTTGGTCAGGTAGACGCATATTTTCGTTCATCTGATAAATAAAAAAATAAATGAATAGATAAAACAACAATACTCTACATTTTTAATAAGTTCCTTCACTGCTCTACAGTCCTTAATAATCGACAAATGCACTTCTATACAAAACAGTTAATTTCAATAATATTTAAAATTACCCTACACACACTTGAGCAAGTTTTTATTTGTATAATAAAACTGTGGGAACTTATTCACACACTCTATAATAGGTTCAGAAATGAATTACTATCTATCATTTCACAGTCAATTTTTTTTTATTATTCATTCCTCCCTTGCCTTTTTGGCTGTAATTAAATTAATAAGGCAATATATCAACTAACAGATACCCTGCAAAAACCTTCAAGTACAATTGTATTGATGAATACAGTTTTAAACTTGTTAAAATTGGCCTCACAAAAGTTCAGCAATATAAACAAAAAATGTTATTTAAAACATATCTTTGTCTTAAGTACACGGTAAAACTTGAACAGAAAATCTATTCCTTAAAATAAGAAATATATAGTTTATTTCATCTTAACTTTTACAGTGTTGCTATCGATATGCATAATCACGATTTATTTTCTTTTTCACTACGTTTGAGTTTTTCAAGTCATCACCAGGTTCTTATACTTTTAAAACAGTCGGATTCAATGGTTCAATCAAGACCTTAACTTCTACTTTGAATAATAGTTTGAATCATAAAACCAGATTTATAATTTGAGATTTGATATTTTATTTCATAATTTTCTACACAACTAACCAACCTCTCCTATGATACACGCACTCGCTCGCTCCCGCACTCGGGTTTTTCATCTATAACTACTAAGTGATGCATCAAAGCGAAAAATGTATTGTTTAATAAATAAAAGAACGTTAAATTTTGCGTCAAACGAGTACATTAACTTTAAAATTTGGTTACACGGTAAGGTATAAAACCACGGTCAACCAACGAGTTTTACCAAATTTCTCAAAAACTGAGACAAATTACTATAAATGGCTCTGTAACTTGGAAATGAGTTCCCTAAGAGAAAAAACTCAAAGAATCAAAGTTGTAGAGCACCAAGTTTTACAGAGTACTGAAATTTTCATTGTTGGCCAATTATATATCTCACATCGGGATTCGCTATTCCCTTATAAAATTCGGCATCTTTCGGCACATCGTTTACTAAAATCTTTTGCTGTTGACAGGTGGAAAAGAGGCTTATACTGGATGTAGCAGACTTTAAATAAAACTAATTCAGTAGAACAGACACCCATACTGTTGAAATATTGAAAATCATGTTGACCTTCATTACCAATTTCTATCCACGGGAGATTACCGATTTTGTTCGCAGCAAGTGACCTACATTAAATTAGTTCATACTGAGTATACGCAAAATTTGACGCTCTACAACTTTAATCCATCGGGTTTTTCCTCTTAGGGAACTCATTTCCATGTTAAAGGCCATTTATAGTAATTTGTCTCAGTTTTTGCCAAATTTCAGTGTTGGTTGACCGTGGGTTTATACCTTACCGCGTAACCAAAGTTTAAAGTTTATGTACTCATTTGACGCAAAATTTAACGTTCTTTTATTTATTAAACAATACATTTTTCGCTTTGATGCATCATTTAGTAGTTATAGATGAAAAACCCAAAAAATATCGGAAAAATCTGACTTTTTGTGCTGTAAAAAGTTTTCTCTTGGTGGCCTGCATTAGCAATTTCGTTTTTTACATGTCTAAACCCATATACAAAAGTTAAAAAAATAAAAACTTTTATCACATTTTTTGCAATGGATTTCTCGTTTCGATCCTCAAATTATTGGCCTAATATTCTTTAATTAAATCAGCCAACATTTTTGAAAGCAGCGGCTCTGGAATGGCAGACAAGGTTTTTTTTACTCAGAATAACATACACTTTTGTAATTTACAATCAAACCTTCGCCTAGGATCAGGTCGATTTTTGGGCCCTGGCTCCAGGGCTATCTTGTAGAGAAAGCCGACAGTATTGGTATATATAATTATACAAGCCTCATTAGTTCATTTACACATCTCGTGGGTGAGTACATCACTCTTTCATTGCTTAAATATAAAAAATCATAGTGCACAACTGATAATTTACGAGATAATAATAATAAATTTATTTACACATTAATTAGGTACTAGAAGAAAAGGCAAATGGTTATATGCAAAGGACTGTTAATAAAGCTTAGGAAACCAAGCAGATTAACCAACTGACAGCCAAAAACTCACTTTGTTTAAATGCTGGTTCGCCTGCATCGTCACCATCCTATTCGTAATTGAATTAGTTTCGTGAGTGGGTATCATGTTCCCAACCATACTCTGCATTTGACAAATTATACAGATAATTCCAAATATTTCAATATAACAATTGGTTAATATAATAATTAAGCATAATATAATAATATATCGAATCGAAATTATAAAATAAATAAAATGTATGACCGAGAGATTTTACTTACCGTATTATTGTTGCCATTGGTGATGAGAGGAGGATGATATGGAGGAGGAGGTGGTCCTCGCCAATCGACAGGAGAATTTCCACTAACATTCTGTGGAATAAAACATAAATAAACTTCAATGAACAATTAAAGAGATAAAAGGCAGGTGCTGAAGGCTAAAGTGTGCACAGCACCGCGTTGCCGCACGTACAGATACCCGGATATAAATAGTCACGAGTCCGCATCCCGGTGATGGGGATTTCTTTTAAATACCCGCCTTCACCCCCTGGGACGGGAAAACCCCTATAAGGCAAAGAAGGGGAGGACCCCCCAAAAAAAAGTTAATTACATAAATACAATAAACATGACTTCTAATAATGAAATGCATTAAAATAAATCTGACCAATTAAAAGTATTTGTCAATATTTTTCAAATGAGATGATCTAATCGAACTAGAAAAACAAGCCCTTTTATTCTTACACTATTTCAATATTTAAAATTCAAGTGAACTCAATATAATGTGAAACGAAATTGAAAAAACTTAGGACTTCATGGAGTTAAACTGAAATTTTTTATTAACAAGAGAATAAAGAAAAATGTACCCAAGAGCAAAAAAAATATATTCACTGATCAGAAGTTTGCATATAAAATGAAAATTTTAATTTTATAATATTCTAACAATTTTATTACCAATGGGATTAAAAACTAAGTAAATTTATAAAAAATTATCAACTGATATATTTACCTGGGTGTGTGGCATGAAGAGGACCTGTCCCTCAGGAAGTGGAGGAGGGATGTTAGATCGGGGAGGTCTTCGATGGCGAGGTGGGCTCGAGGACCTCAAGCTATTCGAACGAGCTACATTTGAAGTCTTAGGAATACCCTCGTCTGGCCTGCCAGATGAAGCTTTACCCTCACCTCTTACAATAGTCTGTTATCATAATATTAAGAAATAAAAATTAGCTTAAACAGATTTAACTTTCATTCATGATTATTTAAGCATCAAATAAAAAAATTAAATAATAATAATAATAATAATAAATAATAATAAAAGGCTTAGCGAACCCGAAGGTTCGATGCCGACACCACCAATCGCTTATTACACACCTCCCTCCACCGTTCGCCGTCCAAACCCAGTCCCTTTAGATCGGCTTAAATGCAATCTTCCCACCTTTGCTTCAGTCTACCTCTCGGACACTTACCATTCGGCACAGCAAATATTAACCTTTTAGGAATTCTCTCATTACTAAGCCCAACAACTTTACAAGCCCATTTGAATTCTACACAATACTTTATTTTCAAAAACCTTAAGATGCTGCTCATCCCTTAATGTAAGCGGCCAAGTTTCGCATCCATAAAGAATGATAGGCAAGATAATTGTTTTATAGATTCTAATTTTTAAGTTCCGGGACAAGAGGCGCGAACTAAGTAGTTTTGTCACAGAAAAATAACAAGCATTTCCCGCCTTCAGTCTAACCTTAATCTCTTCTTCAGTTTCGTTTGTTCAACTTCAGATCTCCCTATGGTAAAACGCTCAGTATCCAGAGGTAAACTAGTCCCCCGTTCGGGTCTCCGGGTTGGGACTGCTTTAGGGGATTCATGGCGCAAGTTGAAATATAGGGATTTAAATGAAAAAATTAAGGGAAAATAAATGTACTTCATAGTTCAATTAGTTTAAAGAAAGAAACTAGTTAATATTAATAGTTTCAAGGTAATTTAAAAAATTAAAATTTATCAGGACGAAACAATAATAACTCCTGATAATTACTCTGGTATACAATAATAAAATAAAATAAAAATATATATATATAGGAAAAGGAGTTGCACAACGGCAGGACAATGAGCTTCCAATGCTCAAGATCCCAGGTTTGAATCCTGGCTTATGGTAGATAAACTATTTATTCTATTTTTCTAGTCACATCCTTCAGGTTTGATGCCATTTTCTCATATGTTGTTTATATATATTTTAGGCCAAAGGTCACCAATTATACACAGTTGTTATATCCTATATTCTATATTCGACGTTTCAGCTTCAGGAGCCATTTTCAAGATCCTGCAAAACTAATTTTAATTTAGTTTTTACAATTCAAATACATCCTTATCAGACACATATTATTTAACAACTATCAGTAATATAAATAGTCCAAAATTTATTATATAAACAATTTTTTTTACTAAATTTATATCATCTACCTACCATGCACCGCGCCATAAAATTTTTTAAATCTATCATTGCGATATGATTCGTCCTTTAGTCATTCTTTTATTTCAAAGAATGTCGTTTTTTTTCATTTCTAAAAAATTGTAATACATAAATAATAAATTTAAATAGATTAACATTATTTAAAAAAAAAATATTATTCGCTCTCGATTTATGTACCTCTTTCGCAGACGATATCCAGAAAATTGATGCTCCTCACTATGGCATTCATACAGGACTGGATTTATTTAAAAAAGAAGTAAGGTGGAGGGGTTAGGGATCAGCTGTTTTATATCAGTATATTATATTTTAATTTTGTCTATTGAGCTAGTCTAAAACGTGTTTAAGTTATCAACATCTGTTTGTTGATTTACATTTAAATGTTTGAGGTTTTTAGTAATAAAAATGGATTCAATTATTCTACGTTTCCCAATATTCTGTTCTCTATGCAACACGGAAGCTGTACCGAAATCAAATGTATGTCCATTTTTTGTGGTATACTGCGATAATTCTGTGGCTAATTTTGATTTTGTCATTTTAGACCTGCAAAAGTTTATGTTGCTGTATCCTACATTCAAACTATTGTGAGGTTTGTCCGTAATATGCTTTATTTTCACAATCCTCGCATTGTATTTTATAAATAATATTAGTTAATTTTTCTTTTGGAATAATATCCTTAGTTCTAATATATAATTTATCTAATTTATTAATCGGTTTTTTCCCAAATCTGATTTCATTTATATCATATTTTTTTAAAGTTTTTTTTTTTAATGTTATTAGTTAAACCTCTAATACAAGTGACTGAAAAGTATTTTTAAATTTTTTATAAAATAAATTTTGGACTATTTGTATTACTGATAGTTATTAAATAATATGTATCTGATAAGGATGTATTTGAATTGTAAAAACGAAATTAAAATTAGTTTTGCAGGATCTTGAAAATGGCTCCTGAAGCCGAAACATCGAATATAGAAAACAGGATATAAAAACTGTGTATAATTGGTGACCTTTGGCCTGAAATAGATATAAACAACATTATTTATTCTATTTCATCAGTCATAGAAATGACTCAGTGGTCGGGAGACCCTCGTGGGGCACACCCAGAATCTACAAAGTGGGGCACATCCAGCCTCTATAAAGAGGAGACACCCAGCCTCTATAGTGACTTAGCTTTTTTTTTCGTTAATGCTTAATGAATTTCATACTTTTTTTTTGCATATATATTTCATACATAGATGATTGATTTCATGAATGTAAAAGGAACTTTCTTTCTCCATGAAACAAATAATTAGACAGTTCCCTTGAAATTAAGGATTAAATCCTTGATAAAAATTCTTTTATGTAAACATTTTTTTGGAAAATCGTATAGATTTTGATTCTTAATTATCCTTCAAATTATCAGATCACTTTTTACTCACCTTGAGATCAAGAATTTCAGTTGGAGTAATTTCCGAAGGATCCACAAGGGGAAGAGGTCTATTCGTGCTCTTCAATATCTGATTGTTGCCAACGATCGAGGCCCATTGAAGTGGAAGACCAACAAACTTGCCTTCTCTCTTATCAAAGCCAGTATGAACTCGATGTTCAAAGTTGGTCGGAGGTGAAATTTGTGGCTTCTTCTTTTTCTTGGCAAACATATTCTTCAACCTAAAAACAGCATTATTAATAACAATGATAGTTTCATACAATTATTATTTTATCAAGAATCAGTCAAGCGAAATAAAATTAAACAAAGCATAAAGTTATTCATGATACTTTCATTATGTCTGCTGGTGTTTCAGAATTATGCCATTCAACAAGAATTAGTCTACGCACATTGCCCAATCTCTTAAGACAAACTGCACAGTGTGACCAAACTGATAGCTGGCACAAAAAGAAAAACATTTGTCACGTTTTGTTGTTTTCTCTTATTTTACAAGATTGATCTCTAATAAAACTGTCACAATTTAAAAATTATATTTCATTTTGAACTTAAAAGAACAATTGGATGATTTCAGGTATGATGGGATGGTATTAAGTTCTCAGTATGAAACAAGAAGATAATGGAAGATAAATACACAATTTCTTTATTTTCTTTCCTACCTTTCTGTCTTATACAAACTTTTAGAAATTATTTAGATTTCTACAAAATTTTAAGTACTATTAAAACATGGAGGAAAAAATTCTACTTCAATTAATATTTACTCTTTAATAGATTCAAAATACAGAACATAGAAAATATTTGTATAACCAGAAAGTTGTCAAGAGTATTAATTAATCTCAAGCAGTCATGTCCGTCATAAAATGAGTTGCACGGAGCTTTTCTTTCCCTATATGAAAGAAGTGGATGACCATATATATATTTCTTGGATGAAATATACTATTTACCATTAAAAATTGCTTTAATATACTGCCAAAATTTTAATCTATTTTTACAAGTGAAATCCTAGTTCTTTCATAGAGTCAGAAACTATATAAAACACTAAGTATAACTAAATGTTATCATTATTTACAACAATCGGCACATGCTGTAATCAATAAACTAATTTATTATTTAAAGTTGAATTGTAACTATTAATTTCTTTAGAGTAATTATTTATTTTACACTTACTATATTTTTTAAGGTGAATAATGACTATGAATTGTTTAAATTTTCTAAAAATATTGTTATTGCTTAACTTCAATGAGATTTTTTCATTTCAGTAAAGCTTGGGGTCACTTTTCTTAAAAGTGGTAAACAAAATCCGAATTACTTTTTGAAATTATTCCATCAGGTCATAATTAACTGCATCGTTCTTATTTTAATTTATTTTTTTAGTTTTATATGGTTTTGGTCCCCGAGGCCTATTTAAAAATTCGAGTATGCTTAGTCTAATTCCCACAAAACATGTTTTTTTATAGATTGTAGCACCAAAACGGTTTCAACTATTTTGAAGAAACTTGCCAATAGTCTTTAACTTAAGGCCCTTAAACTTGTTATAATTAAATTGTCTGAGAAAAAAAAGTTGTCTAAATTAGATTTAGCGAAGATACAGGGTTGGTATTGGACTTAGTACACGTTTTTTTAAAAATAATTTTTTCAGTGGGAACACATTCCCTTTATTTCTTTTTCTTTCTCAAAAATTAACACCTTCCAGAAAAATTCAGATGCTTATTTGTAAGATAATTAAATTATAACTACAAAGCCACACTTTAAAATAAAAATAAAAATCTTAATTGGAGCAATATTAGCAAATATACAGCAATTAACTTTTTATTTTAACTTTGTACTCAAAGTAGTAAGAAAAGTTATGTCAGTGGAATCAAGAGATATTTGAATTATGCCAAAATAAAATTTTCTATTTATCATCATTTTTCTTGCTGTATTTTCTTGCAGATACATAAAATCTTAAATGGCTTAAAGGTGAAGACTTTTGGCATGTCTTATCAAAATCATTAGAGCTTTTTTGGGGTCACAGCCCATAGAAACATACTTTTTCAGAAACTGGACAATAAGTACCCATGATTCAGCACACAAGGATTGAGGGCCAATACCAAAAATGGCAAACTCAAAATAGGTCCATCTGTTTTAAAAGATAATCATGGTCCAGAAAGACACGGATATATGCATTTTCGGGATCTGGGGAAGAGGGAGCTCTGAAACATCAAGATCTGTTACAATAATTTCTTTAAGTGACAGCAGATACAATCAGGAAAAACTTAGTACAACTACTGCCACCTATGAAATAATTAATTGTAGTGATGGATGCTTTCTTTTCTAATGGAAAAATTGCTGAAACTCACTGATATGTGCATCAAACTAAATACGTGGTCAGTAATCAGTACTCCATGGGAGAAGTCAATAAAGTACCATTTTGTCTGATCATATTTAAACAATCACCTAATTTTAGTAAGTTAGGTTCTCCACCAACATACAAAAATCAAACAGCAGAGGAAATAAAAAGAAAATTTATGCTTGTCAACCAATACTATCTTTTGTAGATTGTGACAACTACTAGTAAATTATCTTATGTCCTAAGACGATTATATGGAAGTCTGTTTAGTGAACTCTCCAATCTGCAATCTGGATAGCTATCATGACCATATATCAACTCCTTATTTTTGAAAGGAAGATCCTACATTGATCTAAAGAGCTCTGCTAGAGAATGGTAACTGGAGGGGATGAATGAATTAGAAGATTTATTATCTGTACAGAACAGAATGAGTAAACTAATCTGTTTATAAAAACAGAAGAGGGTGTGACCATGTTCGTATGTCTGAAAAAAAAAATGTAAAACAAACCTTTATAATGAATTTGGAGACTTAAAATACTAATAATAATGGGCAGACCGTGCAGCCAGACTCCAGAATAAAAAACTAAATGTCATAAGTACAAGAACAAAATATTAACGGTATGAAAAACAAAACCAAACAACTCTATTTGTCTATTTAAAGCTAAAAACTTTTCTCAGAGCTGTATAAACAAAAATAAAGGATTTGAAAATACATAGAAAGCTTTAATCTATAAATAAGTAAGAATTATACTATATAGTAAAAACTATAACACTTCATACATTTTTTTAAACACTTTTTCTATCAAAATTGACCGAAATGAAGTTCCAAACTAGGCTTTCATTATCTGTCATCAATATATGGAATTACTGCTGCAGTGTGTCTGGACCAACAGATAAAAATAACAAGTATTTTAACACAAAAGTTCCAAAACATAAAAATTTATCAAGAATTGCCTGATACCTGTGTGGATGCTAGAGGTAACATCTATACTCTTACTCTTAAAAATTACACTATTTCAGCCAATTTATCATAAATAATAAATTGGGATGAGAGATATAAGAACCTAAGAAATCAAAGTAAATTTTATATAAGTAGACAACTAATTGAATTGCATAAATAAATATTAACATCTTAAAAATTATTTATATAGTTAGGCACATTTTAAAGTCTTCTATGAAATCGAAATTGTTCAATGTAAACAATTTTTTAATCATGCCAATCCTATTCAATTAATTTATTAAAATTAAAAGTTGAAATTTTTTTAGTATAGACTTAAATCAGAGAAAACAATTTAGTCAAAACAGATGCTAAAAACAGCTGTGCACAGTTTAATAACTTGAATGACACATTTCCAAGGAGAGTAAATATTAATATGATGATAATAACTATAGTATTAATGAATAAATACATTTCAAAAGTACAGTTCCGAACATTAATAATCAGAGTGAGAGTATATTGAAATCATATGTTCTAATTCTGAGGTATCAAACTGAGAGTTCCACAAAATATTTTTGAAAAAAATAATTATAAAGTTTCAATAAATTATTTAATTTAAGCATGTAGTGTATTATATAATTGAGATTCTTACACGGAGGACAGAAAATCCTATACAGGCTACTGTTTTAAATATGCTTGATTGACTATCAGCTGGAAATCTCACAAAAAGTGCACAGTCGTGCTCTCAACACAGGAGGCTGAATATATAGCTTCGACAGATGCAGCAAAGGAGGCCATGCATCTGAAGTAGTTACTCTCGGTCATGAGAGCTCCGCATAAAGCCATCGTCATTTTCAATGACATCTCTACTCAAAACTTGATAAAAATATTGTCATCCCGTTTTAAGCACATAAGCATTAAAGAACATTTCATTAAAGGAAAAGTTCAAGACAAGGAAATTGTGGTTCGCTTCAAACCTTCTGGAGAGTAAGAGGCAGATACCCTGACCAAAGCTGTACCAGGTCTACGACAGGACTTATCATCAAGACTCTTGGAACCACAAGCGTAATGAGTGAGGGAGTGTTGGACAGTGATGTATTGTAAATGTTTGTAATTAATTTTGTAGTTGTGTTGTTAATTAAATTTGTAAATGTTTGTTATAAACAACAATAATTTAACTGTTACGTAACTTATCTTCTATTACCCACATGTTTTGATATATTGTTCATAGGCACAACTACATTATATAAATAGACAAAGGCAAAATGGTTCAGCCCCTTTTTTTCCGCTGTTCTTAACCGATTTTCTTTTTTCTGTTTTTGTTTAGCAGATATTGACAAGCTTCAGTGCTGTCAATAAATAAAAATATGAAACTGTGTATGTAAATAAGAATATAAATGTTAGTTTGTTCAAAGCTAATCTCCGAAAGTTCTTTAACGATTTCTTTGAAATTTTGATGTAAGGTTGTAATCTAAATCAGGAGTGTTTTTGTATACATTTCATAATCACCCGGCCATTTTTTTTTAATTGGTGGCCGAAGAAAGCAATTCGCTTAAGACTGTGGCGCCAAAACGGCTCTAACGATTTTAATGACACTTGGCTGAAGTCTTCCCCTTGAAGCCTTTATAATTTATGTATATTATATTTCCCAAAAACAAGTTGCATAAATTTTTACAATGCATTCATAATTATATTTGGGAATCGCCCAAAAACACAATTATTGATTGATAATTCCTACATTAATTTTATTTGAAAGCTTCCTAAATTCCCTGCAAAATAAAAAAATTCATCGAAATCGATAAGAATTATCTCTGAAATGAAACAATTTGAAGCAAACATACTCTATCGACACATGTGAAAATAAGCAGAGATTTAGGGTCAAGTAAACTCCAAGAAATGCAATAAACCGGACCCCCCTAAACATTTTAGAACGAAGATAAAAAATATA